GCCGGGCCACCGAATCTTCGACTGCAACAAAATGAAGGCCGCACGCGCAGAGTATCGGGCACGCAACACTGGCGGAAATCTTCCGGCCAATCAGAAGCCAAAAAATGGGAGTCGCCAGTGATTACGGATCTAGCTGGCGAAAATAAAAAGATCCGAAAGCGGCCGCGGGATTCCGAGAAAAAAAACTTCGACGAAGCTGATTCGACGCGAGAAGGAGGAAATGATGGGGGAAAATCTCCACCCCACGACCAGTCTTCGCCAGGGAAAATCGCCGAGGAAAAATCAGACTCCGCGAAAAAAGACTCTGCCGAGACGGGGAAACTCCTTGAAGACCCAAGAAATTATAAGAATTCGTTAAAGCTATCCTATAAAGATGCTTTAATGAAAACTTATGATTTTCGAGGGGCTAGAGCCTTGGAGAAAATACGGGAGGGACTCCAAAAGAAGCAGAAAGCTATGGAGATTATACCGGTACCGGACAACTTGGGGACCAAATTAAGGAGTGTGGAAAGAAGCCGACCTTTCCACGGAGTCAACGTCCTCTCCCGACACCAGCCCACAACGACTACCCGCTCCCCAGGGAAGACGTCGATGGAGCTGAAGCAGCTCAAGAGGAAGCTGGGGGTCTACAAGAAGCTGCAAAAACCCCGAACTCCTTCAACGGATGCATCCAGTTCTTCGGCATCAACGACACGCACAGTCGTCAAGGAAACTCCGGGCCCTGGAGAAGAGCCGTTCTCCAAGCAGCCTTGGCCAGCTGCTAGCTCAGGAGCAGATAGCAACGAAAAGGTGTGTACGGATTATTGGGATGTACCCTATGACCCCATTAATGAAACTATTTTTGGGTACTCCGAGCAACGCCCGCCTCTCGTGCTCGAGGTCATCTGCAAAGGACGACGCCTCCAAGCACTCGTGGACAGCGGAGCGTCTCATACCGTCTGCGACAAGGCAGCAATCGACCGACTTCGAGAAGATTACAAGCCTTCGGGATTTTCTGCAACGATGGTGGATGGCAGCAAGTTACCAGTGCACGGCGAAGCAGTGTTACACCTACAAATTGGACCACTGCGCTGGAGACCGGCACTCCCCATCACCAACATCAAAGGGCTTGACTTGATCTTCGGGCGAGACTTCCTGAAAAGATTCAACCCCGAGATCAACTGGGTAAACCGCACCGCAAGCATCTACAACAATGGACGGAGAGTGCAGCTACCCAACTGGGACGATACAGGAGATATCCCAGTGGAGACACTCGCACGATTCGAGAAGGACGTGAAACGAACCGACACCGGGTTCCTGGCAATAGCGACAGAGGTGGAAGACGGCAAGGAGAAGATCTCGGAACCTCCAGGGAAAATCAAAGAATTGCTGAAGGAGTTCCAAGACATTCTTCCTGACGACCTACCGAACGAGCTACCGCCATACCGCACACATCAACATGAGATCGTGGAGGAGCCAGGTTCGAAGCCGACCTTCCGAGCACCATATCGGCTAAGCCCTACGGAGCTGACCGACATGAAGAAGCAGATCGAGTATCTCCTAGCTAAAGGACTCATCCGGCCATCCACTTCGCCGTACGGTGCCCCAGTACTCTTCACACCGAAACCGGACGGAAGCCTGCGCATGTGCATCGACTACCGAGCTCTTAACAAGCAGACCATCAAGAACAAGTATCCGATACCACGAATCGATGACCTGCTTGACCAGCTTCGGGGAGCTACGGTATTTTCCAAACTGGATCTGCGGTCCGGATACTGGCAGATACGGATGGCGGACAACTCTATCCACAAAACTGCTTTCCGAACTCGGTACGGATCGTACGAGTATCTGGTAATGCCGTTCGGACTCACCAACGCACCGGCAACTTTCCAAGCCGAAATGAACCACATTCTACGACCACTTCTGGACGAGTGCGTGGTGGTGTACCTGGACGACATCCTCATCTACTCGCGCGACATGAAGCAACACGTCGAACACCTGCGACGCGTCTTCGAAATTCTTCGACGAGAACGATTCTACGTCAAACTGTCCAAGAGCGAATTCGCCCTTGAAAGGGTCCAGTTCCTAGGACACATGGTAAGCGCTCAAGGAGTTCACGTCGACCCCAAGAAAATCGAAGCCGTACGTACGTGGAAGACACCCGAGAACGTGAAGGAGTTGCAGCAGTTCCTAGGCTTCGCTAATTACTACAACAGGTTCGTGCCACAGTATGCGAAACTCGCGGCACCACTCACGAATCTGTTGAAGAAGAACACGCCCTACAAATGGGAGACGAAGCACCAGGAAGCCGTGGAGCAGCTGAAACAAGCACTAACATCCGCACCGGTGCTCATCTTGCCAGATCCCGAACGTGACTACGTCATTGAAGCAGACGCCAGTGATCAGGCCGTGGGGGCAGTCTTGATGCAAGACCAGGGGAATGGACTGCAACCAATTGCCTACCTCAGCAAGAAACTACACGGGGCAGAACTAAACTACCCGATACACGATAAAGAGGCCCTTGCTATTGTCATCGCCTTCAAAGCATGGAGATGTTATCTCGAAGGACGCAGAACAACCGTCTACACCGACCACTGCAGCCTGAAATACTTGAAGACACAACCTAACCTTTCCAGGCGGCAGGTCCGGTGGATCGACTTCCTCGAGACGCACTTCCATTACGACATCGTGTACAAGCCCGGCCACAAGAACAAAGCAGACGCTCTCAGCCGGCCTGCACACGTTGCCGCTATTCAGGCTGAAGGGATGAATCCACTACTCAAGGGACTCTTCACACACGGGTACGCCATCGACCCCGAAATTCCCTTGGCAGAAAAACGACACCTGCTACAGTGGGACAGTGACATCGCGTACCGGAAAGGATCAACGAAAATTTGGGTACCCAATTACCCTCCTTTGCGCCAGTTACTACTCGAAGAGTACCACGACGTCCTATACGCCGGCCACTTCGGTAGCAACAAGACGCTGACCGGTATCGCGAAGCACTACTACTGGCCCCACTTGGCAGACGACGTTCAAAAGTTCGTCACCTCGTGTGATACATGTCAACGGATGAAGAGCAGTAAGCAGAAGAAAGCAGGACTGCTACAGCCTCTTCCCGTCCCAGAACAACCATGGCAAGTCGTTAGCCTGGATTTCATCACCGGGTTACCACCTACCACCTGCGGTCATGACGCGATCCTCGTCGTCATTGACAAGTTCTCCAAAATGGGACACTTCATCCCGACACACACGACGGCACGCACCGAGCAGACAGCACATCTCTTCGTTCGTCACATCATCTCACAGCATGGCATCCCAACCACACTCATTTCCGACCGAGACCCCAAGTTCACCAGTAAGTTCTGGAAGGAACTTATGTCTCTGCTCGGCACCAAACTCGCCATGTCATCCGCATACCATCCGCAGACAGACGGACAGACCGAGCGCCTTAACCAGATTGTTGAGCAACTCCTCCGAGCAGCCTGCAAGGACGAGATCTCCAAATGGGACTTGCACCTGCCCGTCCTAGAGTTTGCCTACAACAACGCTACACACGCCGCTACGGGACAGACGCCGTTCTTCCTCTGCTACGGACGCCACCCACTCACACCACAGAAACCGCCAACACCAGCAACAGTCCAACCTGCACACGACTTCATCACAACCATGCATCAGCTTTGGGATCGGACCCATAAGCGCCTCCTTGACATTCAACAGCAACAGAAGCGCCAAGCCGATCGCCATCGCAACGACCACACCATTTCCGTGGGAGACCAGGTGCTTCTCGACACCCGTAACCTGGACATCAGCCATCTCCCATCTAAACTTCGACCTCGCTTTTGCGGGCCTTTCCTCGTTGACGCACAGGTCACTCCTGTTACCTTCCGCTTACGCCTGCCAGCTACCTGGAAGATTCACAACGCCTTCCATGTCCAACTTCTGAAGCCCTATCGGGATCCTAACACGATCTTCGTCGGACGCCAACCGCCGCCGCCGCCGCCCGTCCTCGTCCAAAATGAACCCGAATACGAGGTCGAGTCCGTGCTTGCACACCGCCGACGTCGGAACGGTACCGTGGAGCTTCTTATTCGCTGGAAGGGTTATGATCCTTCTGAGGACATCTGGGTCTCTGAGACCGATATGGGTAACGCCCGTCGTCCTCTGCATGACTACCTTGTAAAGCAGGGTGTTACTTCTACCACCCAGCTTTGAGGGGGGGAAGTGGGAGAGTACGACCTCGTTACACCACTTGGCCTTTTCCATATTTCATCTTCATTTCATTCCTCTTTTTATCTCATCTCTTGTGGCCTCATATTTCCCATTTTCCCTTATCCTTTGGTTTCTTCCTTTATTATTATTATATCACCGACCAGGCATGGAATGTTCTAGACACGCTATCTAGCGTAATCCTGCCGTAATCCCTTAAAGCCAATAGCCTCGCGTGGCTATACGCAGGGTGATTCTATTTTCTAGAAGGGTCTATTCCTTTAGATAGGATAAACCTGGTTACCTGATGTACTCTGGAAGTATAAAAGCGCCTTGTACTGATCGATAGTGCGATCGATCCTCGAGTCATTCGATCCTGTGACAGCGTACGTGCGTGAATTTTTAGGTTTTGAGCGTGAATTTCAAAATTTCGCCACTCGGCAGGTTCAAAACCTTTTGGTAATGCGAGGGTTCGAGAATCTTGAAAATCTTGCGTCAGGCGCAGGCTTTGTGTGGCCCTATCTGACCTGGCCTTACTAAACTTGACTGGCCAAATAATTTGGGCGATTTGCTGACAGATCAGCAATATAGAGTTGGTGTTTTGTACAGTTACGATTTGTTATGACAACTAAATCACGTCATCTTTCAGATCCGCGCCATTATGAACGGTTATGAATCATAAAGATTTGTGTGGGTTTTCAGTTTATTTATTTATTTTATTTTTATTTTTTTATTGGTGGCATCCATGCACTATAAGATGAATTACAATATAAGGAAACCTTAGTAGTAACTGTAACAGAGAGGGCTCGTTGCTATAACGATGCCCTTCTCCCCTCACTACGGTGGTTCGAAGAAGGTACATGGGTCTGACCAAATAGATTGGAACCGACTGTTCCACGTCAACAGCCTCATCCCTCCTCCACAAATCCGGCCGAGAACCCGTGCCTCGTCCACTGCCAGGTGACACCATCCTGCGCCTTGCACCCGCCTGTCAACCTTTGACTTGAGTTGTAAACCGTTATACACTCGTGCATGCCTGTGAAAAGACTGTTCGATCTGACGCATCGTCTTCTTGAGCCGAAGTTTCTTCTCCTCAAAAACCGCATCACACCTCTCAAGCCAAATCCGCTGAAGTGTAATGGCCGTTAGCGTCAACTCTGGGAAACACGATCTCGTGCAACCCTCTTGAAATAGGAGGCCTTCAAGTGAGCTCACAATCCTTGTCGGGTTCATCATCCTCAAGGCCTTTATAAGCGCGCCAACCACCAGCTGAGTTTTCGGGCAGGTGAAAAGGCAATACGTCAGCGTCTCATCATCCTTGCAGTAAGCGCAGCATGCCTTGTCCCCCAAGAAAGCCATCCGGTCAACCACTTGTAAATTAAAACTGTGTACCCTGAGCAAGACTTTCCATGCCTTGATGGGAAACACTTTGGAGTCCCTCCTCTTGACCACTCTCCCCCAGTCGATGGCTCTTCCCCAACAGTCTTCCCATACTCCCTGCTGCTTCGGCTTCACAGAGGGGGCAGATACCGCAAGGCGTAGGCTCTTCAAGGATACCGGTTTCTGCTCCTCATAGATACCCGATAGCCGCAGTCTTGTCTTTGGGTCCCCTAACAAGCCTAACACCGAGCCATGAAACACCTTCAGAGGAATCACATCCGCCGTATCCACTGTCACCACTGTACTGTCTCCTGCCCGCTCCACTTTCCTCTCATCATCTAGGACCGTATATCTGCACCTGAGGTGATCTCCCACCGTACCAGTAACCTGCCACACATGACCATCCGTCTTGCTGTAATCTCTCCTCCCCACGAAGCTAGTCTGCCTCAGTATCTCCTCCGCGTATAGTGGACTGAGTATCGCCTGCCTCGACTCCTCCCGTGCGGCCCCAAAGGCTTTCTCCGCCGCTTCATCCACCATTTCGCTGCCCAACTCCTTCATTAACTGCCACCTGTCCTTCCGCGCCCTGCCCCCGCACCTCTGCTTCTCTTTCATATCCCCCATCGTCAGCTTCCCAAGCCCCCTCGACTCCTGCTGCCTTCCGAAGGACTATCCCCTCGGTAAAGTATCATTCGGTTGAACGCCAGCTGCTCTCGTTCCATGTCCCACCTCGAGCTCCCCACGGCCACGTCGGCCATGGTTGACGATATGAAAACCCTTAAAGCTTCTCTCCACCTCACACTACCCGCTTCCCAATGCTTGAGCAGGGTTCGGTGTGCATATAGAGACGCATATCCCAGCGGTAGGCCAGCAGCCACTTCCGCCAACCACCTCCTCATCGCGTTCTTCTCGTACAGGAGCACTCCCACCATCCTCATTATCAAGTTGTCCACCCTTTCCCTAGGATCCACCACCCGCAGTTCGCCCTCCCCTCACGACAGACACATGAGGTAATAACTCCACAGTATAAAATGTCTATCCGTCAATGCCCTCCCTCTTGAAACGAAATTGTGCCCCAACTTCCTGATTTGCTTCCAAATTCCCTCGGGCGGCGGATAAATATGTGCTTGGAAAAGCGCGATGGGCAACACGTAATTATTCAGCAACGACACCCTTACCGTCGTGGAGAGATACTGAGACTCCCACTGTTTTAATAGCTCCCTCATCTTGTCCAGCTCCTTCTCCCATGCCGGATGATAATCCCCATCTGGCGTAATCCAGATGCCCATCAGCCTCTCCGGTTCCCTCATCGACGCCCACTTGAAGGTCGGCACCAACGGCGACGGTTTACACCGGTTGGACCCTAGCGGAAAGACCGCCGATCCCAATTCGTCTTTAAACCGGACTGAGCAGGGAAGACCTTCATCACCTCCTCTGCTTCCTCCACTTGCCCCTTTCCTTTCGGCGTTAGAGTCGTGTCGTCTGCGTACCCAAGGTACGCCAGCCGCCCAATACCCCTCTTGCTGATTCCCAATTTCACCTTGTGCAGGAGCGGCTCGATTCGCCATGACCTTCGCCACTACCTTATACAAGGTGTTCAGTAAGGAGATCGGGTGATAGTTTTGTAACCAATCAATCGGACCCTTCTTATGCAGCAACACCGTTGCCGCCGTCTTGACCGCTGCTGACAATTCAGCTATTACCTCGAAACTCCTCGCTGCCTCCATCACTGGCTTGCCCAGCAGGTCCCAATGCGCTTCAACGAGCTCCTTCGGCAAACCATCCTGCCCCGGCGACTTCCCACACGCCAGTTCCAAGAACGCCTTCCTAACCTCTCTCTCCGTCCAAGCTGAACACAGTTGCTCTGCATCCCCCTCCATCACCTTTCAGGGTCCGGATCCCACTGCTTCATATGTGCCACTCCCGCCTCCTCCCCGAAGGCGTCAGTGAAGTACAATGCAGCCGCGGTGAGTACCTCCCTTGCACCTCTGTACACCACCCCCCCGTAGTCCACGGTGTCTATTGTCGTCTTTGCTTTTCTGCACTTCACTGTAGCCGAAAGGTACCTCGACGGAACCTCACCGTGCAGCTCAACTCGAATGCCCGCCAGAAGCTGTAGCATGTCCCTGTTATCATTAGTGATGCCACATACAAAGTCTCTGCCGCTGTCAGCGCCGCTGCTGCTCTAGTGCAGTTGGGGCTGGCCATGACATGGTGCCGCTGTGCCGAGACCTTCTGTTCCAAATGCACCACCGTTGCTGCCACCCTTTTCCTCTCCTCTCTAGAAAACGACTTGAGGTCTGCAGACAGTTTTGACTGAAGTTTGTCAAAGCCTTCCGCTCCCACATCCACATGCTCCGACACCACCTTTTCCACAATCTTCCTCACACCTTTCTTTGACACTTGCGACATTGGAAGCCTCCACAAACCAGGTCCCAATGAACCCTTTTCTCCCCCCTTAATGCAGATCCTCATAGCGAACCTGTGGTCGGAGACCCCCCGCGGCACCATGACATGGTGTGCAGCAACCAGCCGGTCCAGCAGGGAACTGGACACCAACGCCCTGTCAATCCGTGAGCTGGACGCCAATGCTCGGCAGATAAAGGTGTACTCCCTTCTGCATAGGTGAAGCGCGCGGAAGGCATCCACCAGATCTAAGGCAGCCCCGAGCATCAATAACCTGTCATTCTCCCCCGTGGATCCTACCTTGGAAGACCTATCCAGAGTCGGATCAGCCACCAGATTCAAGTCCCCAGCCAAATTGAACTGCTCTAACGCCAGCACCACCGCCAGTATCAACCCTAACACCTCCCTAAAAAAGACACCCCTGTTGTTTGCTTGCGCAGAAAACTACGACTCCAGCAGTGACACCTTCAGCCCCTGCCACGCCACCTTGAGTAGCACCACCCTGCCCGACGGATGAGTTTTTACTTCTGTAAAACCAATCTCCTTCCCAAACGCCAAGACGGCCACCCACCCCTGCAACGATTGATGTATACCATCGCCTTCTCTCTTGCTTGCATCTGAATCGTTGTAAGTTGCATCATCATTCGGCTTTGAGTTACAAGGTCGGAGGCTTGGTAGACACTCTTCAAGTGACAGTAGGTGAGCTCAGCCGAGTTGCCGAAGTTGCGATATGGTTGTTGCTTTGTCGGCGTAAGAGAATGGTGAAGGCCATTAGCGACTGATATGTGTAAACCTTCTTCTTTTGAATAGACCCGTCGACATGAAATGGCCAGGAGCCGGTGAAGGATCTGTGCGTCGTCGATCAGCAGCTCGAACTCGAAGCTCCAAGTAAAGAATTCCTTGCCGTTGAAGGGAAAGGACGTTTGTAGCTTGAGTATGTTATTGAATTGCTGCTGCACGGTAATGATTTCTGTTGGTTTGTAGCTGGCTTCTGAGTCCACTGCTGGCGCGGTAGTTGGCAGGAAGGTGAAGGAGCCAGCCGAAGGCTGGTAAGGTTGGTGCTATGTAGGCTGGTTGCCTCATGCGTACGATGAGTCATCGAGGCTTATCGGTACTACACCACTGATGTTGTTGCTGTGTGCCGACTGTGCAGGGGCTGAAGGCTGCTCCAATTGCAACATTAAGGAGAAGAACTTCTCCACGAAGGCCGGGTCAATGCCCGAGGAGGAGGCCACGGGATGCGTGGAAGCTCCTGCAGTAGCGCCTGCCTCAGTCTGTAGATCAGAGAAAGAAAGAGCAGATGGCTCATAGCCGGGAGAACCAGTAGAGTATCATCCCCCCTTGGAGGGTGCCATGTCCTGTAAATATTGATTTATGAGATTGAACTTGTTGCGAGTGATTCTATGGCTAAGTTATAAACTCACTGAGGGGAGTTCGTAATGGGAACGTAGCTTCTGACTCGCTCTCATACCATGTTGGGCTGAGAATAGCCCTAGGATCTTTTCAGAAGGCTAAGTCCTTGTAACAGAGTGCTAGAGAGCACAGCGGAAGTCTTGAGTGAACCCTTGTACTGGTATGTGAGAACAAGTGATTTATTATAGCAAAGAGATACATGATTTATATACCGTAAAGGCCCGGATATATGACCCTAGGGTCTTTTTTCGTATACTACAAAAAGATGGGGGTGAGTCTATTAAGGAAACGTGGAATTAAAATACCCGGGACCTTTCTCGTTTTATAAGGGATTCATTTTTTCAAAGCGTGTATCAGACCCAAATTTGAAATGCGTCCATGCTATCGCAGATGTTGATAGATTCCTGCCTCTACCAGCGCGAATTCCACCTCGACAGCTGTGTGGCTGGATTTAGACACCCTGGAGCTCAACTCAAGGCTGCAGTCAATGGGAAATGCAGGTGGCAGGAGCATTTACACCTCACGAGAGAAGATTCCACTGGAATCGACCAACTCCCATCTTCGATGCCGTCAAGATGGTATGCAGCGCTGGCATGCAGACTTGACAGACATCGACGACCAGGGTCTCTACTCTGCCGCATCGACGGCCGAGATAAAAGATTCCTGGTCTTGTGGCGGGGCACAACTGAAGTGGTCCCATGTGTCTGCGTCGAGGGGGAGGGAGGAGTGCTTCCCTCCCACGACTCTCTTGCCTTGAACGTGGTGGCCTTTTGGAGGGAACGAGACTAGAGTCACGTACAGCTCGCTCGCCAACTCTCACGGGCCTTGCTGGCTAATGCTGGCAATCTACCAACCCGTCTTCACTCAGGCACCTCGTTCTCTCACTCACAGAGCTGTCGCTTACTGCGACTCGTACGCCAGTATCCTCGTCTGGATTTATGGCACCCATGTCGTGGGATCCTGGCGTGAATTCGCGACAGTAGAAACCAACTTAGCTCTGCCCCCAGCGCAATGCCTCCAATGACCAGGAGTGGGCTTGCGGCCATTATCAAGGGCCATAACCCACACTCACAGACGCTTGACCGATGGGTTTATGCCACACCATTGCCTCCCGGTCCTCTCGCACCTCCTGCGCCGCTAGCCCCACCTGCCTCGCCAGCGCCGCCGGTGCCTCCCAGCCTTCCTTTGGCCTTGCGTTATCATGACCAAGACTGGCCCGATCCTTGCGCGAATTTCGACGGCGTCTTCAACGAGGGCGATGCCGAGGATGCGACGGGCATGGGTGCTGCCGATAACTCTGGTGAAGCTGAAAACATGTCTGACGATGGCGAGCCCCAGATTCCTATCCCCTCTTACCCAACTGGACGCAGGTCGCGCGAGGACTGGGAGGTTAACCACGACGCACCCCCCCCCTCGCCAAGGTCCCGCGCCTCGAAAGGTCTTCGGCGCGCGAGAACCGTGAAGGAGAAGCTGGCATGGTTGGATTACATGGATGCTAACCAGCTCTCCACTCGTGCAACCGCTAAAAAGGCGGGTGTCCAGCCTGTTTGCGTGCACAGGTGGATCAAGGACTGCCCGCGACTCAAGAATGCTGCGAACTACCGTAAGCGGCTCCATGGCGGCGGGCGACAGTCGCTGTACGCAGACATGGAAATTTGGGTATACAGGAAGCTGCTACATCACTGAACCCGCGGGCTTCTCATGTCTGTCAACCTCATCCATCGCTAGAGCCTGAACTACATGGCCATGAACCACCCATCAGTCGACTGGAAGGCGTCTTCTCGGTGGTCTCCGCGCATGCGTGCACGGTGGGGTCTGTCAGTACGGGTAAAGACTAAGATTGGCCGACGATGAGTTCTCCACTCGAATTCGACTTCTCTCCTCGGTTTAATGTTGCACATGTTTCCCATGCTGCTACAGCATCTTTCGATTCTGTCCTTGTGCAATAGCCTGATGCTTACTCGTCTTCCATCCTTCCCCGTGCCTCCCCATGCCTGGTAGATATCAAGCCGAAGGCGCAGAGTTTCTGGCATTTCTGTCGCAAGCAGATATTCAACAAGGCCATCCCCAACACCCTCATGATCAACGCCGACCAGACGGCGCTATTCCCTGGAAATGCCAACCGAGCGCACGGTCGAGCACAGGGGTATCAAAACCGTGCACGTCAGGACCACCGGTTACGAAAAAGAGTGCGTAACCGTCATGCTGGCGTGCACGGCTGCGGGCCAGAAGCTGCCCGCGTACGTCGTCTTCAAGCGCGTCCGCCCGCCTTCCATCCCAGTCCCACTGAGTAAGTTGACGCACTTTTTGTTACCATGCGGGGTCGACTTGTTGTTGATTTCATGACAACGCCTTGCGTCCTAATTTTACCGTCGTTTTTCTTGTCTGCACAGATGTAATCATCCGTGCGCAGCCGAGAGGCTGGATGGACGAGCATATGGTGCAGGAATGGATAACCCGAGTCCTTGCACCGCATGTCGCTCCCCAGCCAGGGAGGCCTCGCCCCGCCAGCCTGGTCGTGCTCGACTCGTTTCGGGGGCACTTGACGGAGGGAGTCAAGCAGACTATGCGCCTGTTCAAGATGACTCCCGCCATCATTCCGGCCGGGTGCACCTCAGTTCTACAGCCTCTCGATGTGTGTGTGTTCAAGTCATTCAAAGCTTCCGTGCGGGCAGAGTATGAAGATTGTTTCGCCACTGAGGGCATCAACACTTTCACCAGAGCCGGTGAGAATGCGCAGATCCATATGCTTACAGTCAAGCACCATTCATGAGATGCTTACAATTGGTGTGTTTACAACCAGTACTAACGCACTCCTCTTTACTCCCCTCCCCCGCACCGTAGGGAACCTGAAGAAGCCTCCCCCTGAGGAGGATATTCGCTGGGTGGGAAGATCTTGGGCGAAGGTGCCAGTGGCGCTTATCCAGAAAGCGTTCAAAGTCACCGGCATCTCCAACGCACTGGATGGCTCGGAGGACCATATGATCCTCCACCATCTCAAGGAACAGGCTCCTGACGAAGTCGACGTCAACGACGATGTCGGCGCGGCGGGGGCGGATGGCGACAACACCGCCGTCCCGCAGAACGCTGATGAGGATGAAGACGATGCTGCCGACGACGGCGATGGTGGTGCAAACGACGACGATGAGCCGTTGCTGGAACCTGCGGTGGCTGAAGACATTCTGGGTTGCGACCCGTTTGAAGACTTGGCGGAAGAGCCACCAGCATCAGCCGCTGAACCAGAGCCTGCTGCTGACGCATTCGAGCCACTGCCTCGCATGACGCTGGCACAACGCACCTCTGCCATGGAGGAAGATTATGGCGACTCGGCTGCTGAAGATACTGACGGCGACCAGGAGGATGAAGAGCCAAAGCCTGTAACGTGCGGCAAGTACGAGTGGGCGTGGAAGATGCAGTAGGCATAGAGGGCATTCCGACAGTCTTATGTTTTAGGTCCTGACTGGTTCCCTAACTATGTGCGTCATGTACCTGTAGGAAGTTGTTATTGTAGTGCACAATTGTAGGCTTGAATTCATGTAAAAAACCAAGTAGGGGGGTCCAAACCCATCTACATCCTTTAGGGAGGGTCTTGTTAGTCGATGACCATAATAAAAGACTTACCCGCCAAAAGCACCCTATGGGTCTTCAATAAAACCGGTCTTATATCCGGGCGTTTACGGTAGTAATTCAACAGAATATGAAGAGTCTAACTGTTTATGCACTTCGAGGGGTACATTTTCTTTTACGACTTGACAAGAGCGACTCGGGTAACCACCCGTACTGTAATACCAGGACAGATATTTGTCCTTGCTGTTGCGCTGTCTTGAATCTTGTACCTACTTCTGACTGTTGGGTTGAACTGTCAACGGCTCTAGCTCCGTGTGGCAGCAGCAATCGCCTTGGACTGGGCGGATATGATGCTCACAGTCTTGGCATGTGCGCTGTCCGGTGCAAACTCCATAGATGATGCTGTTGTCCCCTAGTTAGAACTCTGCACCAACGTCTAGCTCCGTGTGGCAGCAGCAATCGCGTTGGACTGAGAGGATATGATGCCCAGTGTCTTGGCGTGTGCACTGTCCGATGCAAACACCGCTATGCAGGCTTCCCACTGCTGCCATCCCATCAATCAGCCCCGGTCTAGCTCCGTGTGGCAGCAGCAATCGCCTTGGACTGAGAGCATATGATGCTGACAGTCTTGGCGTGGGCGCTGTCCGATGCAAACACCGCTATGCCATCGTCCCACGAGCGGAGGTCATCTGCCATGAGCTGCCAAAACATTGTGGCTGGTGTGGACAGAGAGGAAAGGGGAAACGGAAGAGACAGGGGAGGAGAGACAATTTAGTTTTCCGGGCATCAACTGCAATGCCGCCATTCCGTGCCCGGCAGAGGTCATCTGCCAAAACGTGGTGGTACACGTCGTTGCTGGAGGGGAGGCACAGCCACGCAGCTGCTGCTGAGCACGTGGTGGTACACGTCAATGCTGGAGGGGAGGCACAGCCACGCAGCTGCTGCTGAGCACGTGGTGGTACACGTCGTTGCTGGAGGGGAGGGACAGCCACGCAGCTGCTGCTGAGCACGTGGTGGTGCACCGCACTGCCATGGAATGGAAACGACGTTCAACACGAACCTGCTGCCGAGCCCCTCTTCTTGGCAGAGTCCAGCACAATCTGGTAGAGTGCGCTGTAAACCTCGTTGCGCCGCGCCATGCTGCCGTCCGGAAGCTTCGTGATGCTCTCGGGCCCAAACTCCCCAATGAGCACCGGCATGTTGAGCGAGGTGTCCCCATCCTCCAGGTGCCCCTTCACGTAGTTCTTCAAGTACGCCATCTTGTCGTTCCATGCAGACACAGAGTACCTGAAGGGCAAGGGGAAAGGGGCATCGACAATCAGCGCTTCTCGGTGCTCTTGGGCCCGAACTCCCCAATCAGCACCGGCATGTTGAGCGCGGTGTCTCCATCCTCCAGGTGCCCCTTGACTCCGTCCCATCAGCCACAACCACTCTGCAATGAACCCTCTCCCCTGTCAACCCCCTCTTCTCCCCTACAATCTACTGCCTGCTACTGATGCCCCCGACGCAATGCCAATCCCCGGCACCTAGTTGTTCCGCCCTAAGTCTGTCCCCCCTTGTTGTTCCGCACAAAGTCTGTCCCCCCCTCCGCATTGAGCGCCACACCCTGCTGACCCCTTCCAACCTTGGGGCTAAACCCTGAAACTGCCTTCCCATCACACATCCATCCCCTCTAACCCGCTGTTAGCATACGCGTGCACCGAAGCAATGTCAATCCCTGGCACCCTGTTGTTCCTGGCGAAGTCGGTCCCCACGTTAATCATCCACCATTCAGCATCGAGTGCAATCCCCCTTCCCCCCTTCCCACACTTCCCCACCTCCCCCCTCACCTGCTGTTTGCATATGCGTGCACTGAAGCAATATCGATCCCGGGGGCCTTGTTGTTTCTGACGAAGTCGGTCCCCACGTTCATCATCCACCACTCAGCATTGAGTGCCTTGGCTCGGTCAGGTGTGGACGGGCCATAGAAGCCCTCAGAGCCGATGGAGAGCAGGTGGTTGGAGTCAAGGGACTTGACGTATGCTGCCATGTCTGTGATCCACGCCTGGTGGGAGGGAGAATAGCAGCAAGGAGAGAGTGGACAGAACGGGGTTGAGGAGGGGGCTCTTCATCGGGCACCTTGGTGCGATCAGGCGTGGCCAGGATGTAGACGCCCTCTGATCCGATGGAGAGCACATGGTTCGAGTCTAGGGATTTCGCTTACGCGGCCATGTCTGTGATCCACACCTGGTCGTGCAAGGAGCAAGGGAGAGGGAAAAGGGTACACAGGGAGTTAAGGCTTTGCATTGGGTGCCCTTTTGAGACAGTAGAGAGCAGGTGGTTGGAGTCGAGGGACTTGACATGCGTACGTACACTGCAATGTCTGTTTAGGGTTCAGGCTCGGTGGCCAAGACTCAACCCATTATTCGACCCTCACCTGCCCCATTATTCGACCCCCCCCCCCCCCATTATTCGACCCTCACCTGCCCCATTATTCGACCCTCACCTGCCCCATTATTCGACCCTCACCTGCCCCATTATTCGACCCTCACCTGCCCCATTATTCGACCCTCACCTGCCCCATTATTCGACCCTCACCTGCTGTACACTGCCTGAGGGGTCAGCATAGACCCCGACTCAATAACAAGCTCCCCGCCGAATGTGATTTAAGCACCTCATACTCTACTTCTCATCTGGAGCACATCCCCTGAGGGGTCAGCATAAACCCGGGGCTCGTCCATGAGCTCTCGGCCAAAGGCGGTCTGCTCATCAGTCGGCCTGTCTCTTAAAATCCGTCTCCCTGAAAGCCCAACTTGTAGAAGTCTCACCTGGAGCACATCCCCCGAGGGGTCAGCATAGACTCTGGGCTCGTTTATGAGCTCCCACCCGAATATGGTCGGATCGTCACGGTAAAGTACGCCCGTGAATGTGTTGCGGCGTGTGATCACAGCCTGCAGTAGGAAGAGGCGGAGCGGAATGGGGCGGGGGGGGGCGGGGGGAGGGGTCATCGCTGCAGGCTCAGAAATGGTGCAGGTTGCCAGAGCATCCTCACATGGTACTGCACCACACATCATCGCACTGCGCCACACATCATCGCACTGCGCCACATGGCACCGCACTGCACACACGCCAGGAGCGAATCAGCATTCCACCGTAAAAAAGGTCCTTCTCGTAATAGCGAGAAGAGTCATGCTTTAGGGTGCATCAGAACACATAACAGCAGCACAAAACCATCGCAGCTTGACAAAGTCCTTGTGGTAGGAGCAATCGAGGACTGCTACAGGTGGACCCAGACCCACAGCACCAGCAGCACTGTAGCATCGCACCTTGATAAGTTCTTGTAGAAGGAGTGGCAGAGGGACGCGTGTTAAGGTGCATAAAACCAACAGCGACAGCACATTACCTTAGTGAAGTCGTTGAAGTAAGAGCGGCAGAGGGGGTCCACAAATAAAGCCGTATCATCGCCAGGAGGGTTCCCCCCCGCCTTGAATTTTACGACAAGTCAAAAGTCAACGCGCATCGCACTATCAACGCACCTTAATGAAGTTCTAACAGTAGGAGCAGCAGAGGGGGTCCAACGGCTTTAAAGCCGATTCACACGTCAGCACAAAGCACTGTAGCAGCGCACCTTAATGAAGTTCTTGTAGTAGGAGCGGCACAGCGGGTCCACAAAGAAAGCCGTGTCGTCGCCAGGAGGGTTTCCCCCGGCCGCGCTGCTCCACCTGACGTACTGGTTCTTGCCCCCGTAGTCGTCCCAGTTGCCGTTCAGCACCATGTGCAGGCGAATGCCAAACCTCTTGGCCGTGTAGATCACGTAGTCTAAGGCCTGGGAAAGGAAAGTCATTGAGAATTGGTGGGGGAAGAGTAAACAACACCGGGAGGCCTTTACTCTTCCAACGTGGCCTGTACCGAGGCTGGTGAGAGGAGGGAGGGAGAAGCAACAGGGGGCAGTCATGAATTTAAGTAGAGAGAGCATGTGAGTACCAAGTGCAGGCGAATGCCAAACGCCCTGGGACTTGGGGTTTAGGGCGCGTGCATGTGGCACACCCATTTACAGATTACATTCACCTTATCAGCTTCACCTAGTATCACATCACCGTTGAGTCACACTCACCTTGAAAGTGTTCTCGTTGAACACCCCCGGGCTCGTCGGTATGGCATGCCAAGCATGCCACCCCAGCCCGTTGTAGAATGCTCCCGAGCGGCACACTCACTACCAACCACACGCACAACTATCAGATCAGGTCTGCCCGAGTCACACTCACCTTGAACGTGTTCTCGTCGAACACCCCCGGGCTCGTCTGCAGCGCATGCCATCCCGGGCCGTCATAGAACGCCCCTGTGCGGCACACTGTGAGCCCCATGCTGCGACCCTGGCTCAACGCCTGGTTCACCTGGTGTAAGGGGGAAGGGAGAAGGTAAATGGAGATTAGCGTATGGAAGATAGTGCCAAAGAGACAGTGTGAGCACCATTCACATAAGACGGCTTGCCTCGCAGCCAAGGGCACAGAGCATACAGCATACGATGAAAGACACCACAAAGCACACATACCATGCTTCTTGTCGGGGATGATGCTGGCAATGTACATGAGCCAGTACGTGTTCCACCCATTCGCATAGAACGGCTTGCCCCGCAGCCAGCAATACATAGCACGAGATTTCCACTTAAAGAAAGCAGTTAGACTTCTTACCAGATTCTTCTTGTCGGGAATGCTGGCGATGTACATGAGCCAGTACGTGTTCCACCCATTCACATAGAACGGCTTGCCCCGCAGCCACAGCTGCCGCCCCACCCGTCGCACAAACGCATCACTAGGCGCAGCAACAACACCAGCCGGCACCCGCCACACCCTCTTCCCCTTGCCGCCCTTGGCCGCCTTGGCGTCAGTGCAGGCGGCGCTCCTGGAGAAACGGCACCACACGGAGGACAGCAGGCCCTGGGAACGGTGCTGTAGGAGAACGCCGGCAGAAGTGGCAGAGCCAATAGCAGTGGCGGTGGTGGCGGTGGCTGGTTCCGAGACAGCAGCTGCTGGTTCCGAGACAGCAGCTGCTGTCTCCGCTTCTCCTGCCTCTTCTGCTGCTGCTGCCGCTGGTTCTGGGGCTCCTGCCTCGTCTACTGGAACAGGTGTGGGCGCTGGAGCGTCTGCCGCTGACTCGTCCGCGTCTGCTGCTGGTTCCTCTGCGTCTGCATCCACCACCCCGCTGTCTGGGGCGCTGGGAACGAGCTCACCTCTCGTGTACGGGCCGTCATCCGGTGCAGGAGTCAGAGCGACCACAGGGGCACGTGCAACAACATCGGCACCCACAATACCAGTCGCAGCAGCAACAGCAGCAGCAGCAGCGGAGGAAGAAGCAGAAGGAGTCGAAGAGGAGGAGGCAGCAGCAGCACCGCCGAAATCAAGAGACGCATGCCATCCCGCCCGCATTATGCCAGAGGAATGGCTGCGTTTGCCGGTGGATGTTGCAAGCCTTGCAGCAGCCACGCGAGCCAGGCTGCACAGGGCCAAGGTGAGCGTTATTGACAGCAGAGGCAATAAATACAGAACGGGAGAGCGGCTCCCACAGTGAGGGAACCGACGGCCATAGATAGGAGCAGGGCTCGCAGCCCTTTGTTTCTCGAGATAGACTGGCGCATTTGCTGGTAAGCTCCTTGGGTGAGGGCTCCTCAGTTGAGGCTTCCCAGACGCCATTTCCAGAGCTGAGAGTTTCAATACCCTCAGCGGCTAGCGGACATTAAAGGCCTTTAGAAGGCCTTTAGATGTGATGGCTAATGCTGCCAGAGGACTCAGCGGCGGAGGAACGAGCTTGTTCTTGAGAGATAAGAGCCTGGGAATTGCTTAGAAGGGGATGGCTGAGCAGACTGCGACTGCCCTTCATTCGAGCTTTGAAGGGCTTTCATACGCTAGCAGCGCAGGGCGTGTAGGTGGTAATGGGGAAGACATCTTCTTGTGGTTGTTGGGTAGGTAGAGGGCGCAGTAGGTGGTTGAAACAACGTGTGGAGGTGGTTGGAGGAAGGAGGAGGTGGTTGGAGGGAAGGTATACGGCCAAGATCGAGATCCTAGATAGGAAGAGAGGTAGTTACGCCTCGGTTCGATCACACCACCACGTTTTTAGAGCCGAAATCACGGCGTCTCGAAGGTGGGTTCAAGGACGCTCGGAGGTGGATTCTCGACTCCAAGGTTGAATCCCAGAAGCGAGGAACGGAGAGAGACGAGGGGCGTCTCGTGTGCACGTTGGCGCCTCCCTTGCTCGCCTCGATTTGATTTGCTTTCCCTTGCATTCCGAATGCTCTTCTTTGGTTGGACGCGCCAGCCTCCCATGACTCGCGCGTCGCCTGCATGAAACCAGCACAACCCTTCGCCAATAATTCGCGGAAGACTTGCTGGCGTGGCTTGGCTCGGGAGCCTTCCAACCGCTATCCGGTCAGTCGGAGAAGCGTCCATCACATTCCCGCTCGCGGTCAAATCTCGCCGCTCTCAACGTCTAAGATCGCGACAATCACCTCTCACCGACACCGGAATTCCCCCTCAAGCTCTCAACCACTTCTGCCTAGCCGCAGGCGAAAATTGAGATATATGACGCCTGGCGTCGAAGCTTAAGGCTACCGTTCTAGAAAGACCTTCCTTTCTCGCGACGCAGGTTAGGTGACTCGTCCCTGATTCGCCCAGCTGGACGACGGCTAGCCAATCAGCTACCAGCTCGAAGCCTTTGTCGGAAGCCTACCTGAGTTAGGCTCGACGCGGAAAATTTGGACGGCCGACTCGCTACGATGCGCGAAACGAAACTCCGAGGCTCCGCAAAAAAACTGGCCAATACGAACGGCGGATCTAGCCTGGCTCGGAGACCAAACCTAGTGGGGGCGAGAATAGCGGAGAAGCAGAATAGGTGCGGGACGAGCGCGTAAGCTCTGAAGTAGTGGAACAAGCAGACGAAGCAAAACTGGGTAAGAGCCTGCGAGCCATGTCGGTAAAGGGAAGCCGCCTCGGCGTGAATCCCGAGGTGAGCCTTGGGAACTAATCGAGACTCAGCCACGAGATGCGGTGATGGCTTGGTGAGTGACTCGCGTGAATCTGGCTCGGCCAGGCAAAAATGAGGATGATGGGTGAGTTCCACAAGGGAGCTATCGGGATTGCGGGAGCGAGCCAAACCTGGAAGACTTCGGTGCTCCCGCTACAGTTTCATGACGACCCGTCTACAGTTCGATAAATATGTGTTTGAATTGTCGCATACACGTTTGATGGGTGTATGCCAATGTGACAAAATTAATAGCAACATAGTTGCTCACACCTCATTTTCCCTAATCGGGTCAGAAGCCCTTCAGTTTCTAGGCCCATTGTTGGGCACAGCTATCTCACAACTACCTTGCTGGCAAATGAGAGATAAGCACACAATAACACGAGACACGCAATCCTTCATGCGACATTATACTGGGTGCGTGGGATTCGCACCCATTGTAATCCATCCAGAGCAAAGACAACGCATACACACACATATGCTTCGAGTGAACATCTGTGCTGCAACCGCAATTGCATGTATTTGGCAGTTAGAACCAACCAAGTGTTAGTATCAGCTGTTGAACTCAGGGTCGGCCTTCCAAACCTCGTAAAACAGGTCGACCCAGATGTCAGGGAGCCCGGGCAGGCACGGGTGCAAGCAGTCCTTGCTTTCAGGCGACTGAGACGCCAGCATGGCATCGCTACGGTAGAGGGACGGGTGCGTGATGTCCACGAATCGTATGTTCTTGCTCGGGCTCAGCACATCCCGCTGTGTGGGGAACCACTTGCGGCTCTGAGGGTTGTTTCGCACCATATGCTCGTACTGCGCAGAGGAGACACGGCAGTGAGAGGGAGATAGTGTAAGAAATTTGTGTGAGTGGGGTGCCTCAGAACAGTGAGGAATACGCGGGAACAATGAGGAATGGTACAATGAACTTAACGCCCCAGATTGAAACCCAGACGACTATCGAGTCGTTTCGGCGGCCAGTGAAAAAGTGAACTGAACATACAGTAGCATAGAGCACGCGCCTCACTGTGGTTCTGTTGGCGGGGGAGTAGGAGCCCTGGCAATTAACCAGGCGGGAGAAGACTCGAAAGAACTCGCTACAATTCTAGGCGCAGCACTGAACAAGAGCCGCACCGTGGTTCTGTTGGCGGGGGAGTATGAGCCCTGGCAGTTAACCAGGCGGGGAGGCGCAGAGAGGAAGTAGGGCACAGGCAGGTCCCAGCGCTTGCTGTTGCCGGCGTTGAACGACTTGCCCAGCTTGTTGAGAGCTTGCCTGTGAGAAGGGACAGGAGGAAAGAGAAAGAACCGGAGAGTGAGGAAGGTAGGGCACGGGCACGTAACAGCACAGCACTTGCTGCTGCCCGCATTGAAGGACTTGCGTGTGCGACCAATGCACGGGCGCCCACACGCAAGCACGCAGGTACATTCACTCACTTGCACGCTGCATTGGTGCCAGGCTCGGGGTCGATCTTCTTCCACTTGCAGTCCACAAAGAACTGCCTCAGACACCTCTCAGCGTGCATAACCACTCAACTTAAACCCATACACAGTCACTCACTTGTATGCGGTCATGGTGCCAGGCTGGGGGTCGATCTTCTTCCACTTGCAATCCACAAAGAACTGCCTCAGACACCTCTCAGCCTGCATAATCGCTCAACTTAGCTCAAATTGAACTCATGCACTGCCACTTACTTGTACGCGGTCATGGTGCCGGGCTCAGGGTCGATCTTCTTCCACTTGCGGTCCACAAAGAACCGCCGGAGCCACCTCTCAGCGTGCGGCCAGTGCGTGGCGGACTGGAAAACTATGAGGTCCATGGCTTGCACCTGGTCGAACCACTGCGGGTCAAAGGCTCCCAGGTTCACTGCTGTGTCGCCCAAACCAGGATCCTGCACCCTCAGCTTCCGAATCACCTGTGTGGCAAATAAGGCACGGGGGGCCGGAGGAAGGAAGGTCAATAGGGCCGGACGGGAGACTATGAGGTCCATGGCTTGCACTTGCGGTCCACAAAGAAGCGCCACAGCCACCTCTCAGCGTTCGGCCAGTGCATGGCGGACTGGAAGACTATGAGGTCCATGGCTTGCACCTGGCCGAACCACTGCGGGTTGACACGCCCAGGTTCACTGCCATGTCTCCCAAACCGAAATCTTGTACTGGAAGGTTCCGTATCACCTGAGAAAGCAAGGGAGGGACGACATTCAAGAAAGGGAGAGGGAAGAGTATGAGGTCCGTGCCTTGCACCTGAATGAACCACTTCTAGTCAAACGCGCCCAGGTTCACTCTGCTGTGTCTCCCAAACTGGGGTCCCGCACCCTGAGCTTCCAAACGGGAAAACGGGGAAGCGGATGCAAGGAAAAAGAGCAACTTGGTTCGTCAATGGCACGAACCAAGGGGAAACGACCGTGCATATGCTTCTCCTGCTCCTTTCCCCATCACCACGCATGAACTTATGATAGGGTTGGCAAAGGCCCGCATGAGGAGCACTAGTGCCTCCATCACCAAACACTCATCACGGCAATGTACCTCAGGCCATCAGGCACCTCAGGGTTCGATCAACCAACAACCATCACACTGTGCGGTGTGGGGTCCATCTGCGCATTACTTGCTATCACAGGGTTGGCAGACCTCCAGCAGCTCAGGGTTGGCAGCTCCAGTAATTGACCACAGTCACATCGTGTGGGTGCAAGCATCATGCACCCATCAAGACTACCACATGCTTCACTCCCCATGCACCCACCACAGAACTGGCAGACGTCCACATGAGGAACGGGCTCCAGTAGTTGGCCATGGTCACGTTGAGTGGGTGCAAGAGTCATACACCCATGAAGATTACCACATGCCTCATCCCCCATGCACTCACCACGGGGTTGGCAGACGTCCACATGAGGAACGGGCTCCAGTAGTTGGCCACAGTCAGGTTGTGAGATTCCAGGCGCCACACAAAGCTGCCCAGGGGACTGCCCTCCACCCTGCTAACGGTGCCAGCTTGCGCCAGCTGCAGGGGGGGAAAGGGGTGCAAGTGGTGCAAGGCACGGGTGAATAGAGGAGGTTGAATAGAGGAGGGTGAATACGGTGTTCAGAGGGGCTCCAGTAGCTGGCCACAGTCACGCTGTGCGACTCCAGGCGCCACACGAAGCTGCCCAGGGGACTGGCCTCCACCCTGCTCACACTGTCAGCTTGCGCTGGCTGCAGGTGGAGGTGGGGGGGGGAATGGGTGCAAGAAAAGGGTGAATAGAGGAGGCTGCATTGAGGAGGGCGAATAGAGCATGGTGAGTTCGGTGCTCAAAGGCACCACGCGGAGCTGCCCAGGGGACTACCCTCCACCCTGCTCACACTGTCGGCTTGCGCAGAGCTGCCAGGGGAGGGGGGGAGGGCGGAATGGGTGCAAGAAAAGGGTGAATAGAGGAGGCTGCATTGAGGAGGGCGAATAGAGCATGGTGAGTGCGGTGCTCAAAGACGCCACATGGAGCTCCCCAGGGGACTGCTATCCACCATGCTCACGCTGCCGGCTTGCTCCAGCAGCAGTAAATGGTGCAAGTGAGGCACGTGAGGAGGAGGAGGGGAAGGAAAGAGGGGCCAAAGGAGAACTAAGGGAGAGGTTAATCAGGGCCGGAAAGAGAGTGGTTAGGGAGCATTCCTTTCAGCTTATTCATGCTGCCTGCTTGTGCTAGCTAAAGGAGGAGGGGGGGGATTATGGGTGTTAGGGGGAGACGTAGGAGAGTACACTGCTCAGAGCTGGTTGGCTCAGGGTAGCAGAGCAGAGAAGAGTTCATGGCATGGAAGCGGGGCAGATTCCCAGAATGGTTCTTGGCATTGGATGGCTTCTGAGTCGACTCACAAGTCACATCGTTACAATGTCATACGGACATTTTTGGAATGTTCCAATGATGGTTTGAAGAAAATCACTGCTGTTTTGCTCTGAAGTCTACCTGGCAGAGCAGCACGCCTACCAGGCAGAGCAGCCAGCGTACCTGGCAGAGCAGTGAGCCTACCTGGCAGAGCAGCAAGCCTACCAGGCAGAGCAGCCAGCCTACCTGGCAGAGCAGCGAGCCTACCTGGCAGAGCAGCGAGCCTACCTGGCAGAGCAGCGAGCCTTCCTGGCAGAGCAGCGAGCCTACCTGGCAGAGCAGCAAGCCTACCTGGCAGAGCAGCGAGCCTACCTGGCAGAGCAGCGAGCCTACTTGGCAGAGCAGCGAGCCTACCTGGCAGAGGAGCGAGCCTACCTGGCAGAGCAGCGAGCCTACCTGGCAGAGCAGCAAGCCTACCTGGCAGAGCAGCAAGCCTACCTGGCAGAGCAGCGAGCCTACCTGGCAGAGCAGCGAGCCTACCTGGCAGAGCAGCGAGGGCATGAAGCCTTCAGTGATGAGGGAGTCGCCCACCAGAGCTATCACCCTGCGACGCACAAGGGGCAGAGCAGAAAGACAGGTTAAGAGTGGGGGAGGGGGGGGGAGTGGGGAAGGATGGGGAGGACTTTTAAGGGGCCGTATCTAGGGATGCCCAGATGGTGAAGGCCTCAGTGTCGCCCACCAGGCTCCCTGCCCTCCCTTCCCTCCCTGCCCTCCCTGCCCTCCCTGCCTTCCCTGCCCTCCCTGCCCTCCCTGCCCTCCCTGCACTCCCTGCACTCAGTCTACACTACCGGCACCTACTGCACTCACTTGTTCTGCATCTTCTGGGCGAAGTCAGCCGGTTAGAGACACAACCCTCCTGCTGTACCCGCTGCATTACAGATGCTCACTGCTACCCCCCGCTCTCGCTGCACTCACTGCAACCCCCTGCTCCCCCCCGCACTCACTTGTTCTGCATCTTCTGGGCGACGTCAGCCGCTTGGAGACACAACCCTCTTGCTGTACCCGCTGCATTACAACTGCTCACTGCAACCCCCTGCTCTCGCTGCACTCGCTGCTCCCCCCGCACTCACTTGTTCTGCATCTTCTGGGCGAACTCTGCCGCTTGGAAGCGAATGGTGTTGCCGCCACACTGCTTTGGCTTCCACGAGTATTTCTGCAGAGTGGTGGCGGCATGAGAAAGGTTATTCAGCAGGTGTGGTGGAGGCACGCAAGAACTCGTTCAGCAGGTGAAGGTTCGATGGGCTTTAAGGGCTGTAAACGGCTTGAACGCCTGCGGGGACGACTCACCACCCACGAGTTGTCCTCCCGGATGTATTCAGAAGGGCTTTCAAGGGCTTTCAATGGCTTTAAAGCAGCTTTCACAGACTTCGAATTCAAGGCCTCTAGTCACTCCAAAGGTTTGTAAAGAGCTAAAAGGGCGCTGCGGGGACTCACCATCCAGGAGTCGTCCTGCCGGTTGTACTTCTTCCTGAGGCAGCTGGTCGTGGGCGACACGGTCTGCAGTAGAGGGCGGGAGGGAGAGCAGGGAGTGCAGGAGCGAGAGCAGGGAGTGCAGGAGCGAGAGCAGCGGGTGGAGGGGGTAAGACCGATGGGACTCGTGAGTCGACTCAAGAGCCTTCCTGAGGCAGCTGGTTGTGGGCGACACGGTCTGCAGCAGAGGGCGGGAGGGAGTGCAGGGAGCGCAGGAGGGAGAGCAAAGGGTGAAGGGGATTTGACGGATGGGACTTTTGAGTCGAGTAAAAAAGCTTGTCTGAGGCAGATGGTTGTGGGCGCACGGACTGCAGCAGCGCGCAGAAGGGAGAGCAGGGGATGGAGGGATTACAATGAATAAGACCCTGCATTGTAAGCAGGGCGGTTGGCCCTCGTCCCAAACCTCTCGCCCTCGTATTAGACGTTGCACACAGCTACATTATTCAGAATGCATACGCAACTTACGTTAGTGACAGGGCACGACTCCATGTTGTAGGCACCTTACGGTAACGAAGGGGCATAACATGCTATAAGGGGGACGGTTGGCCTCGTCCCACGCCCACTCGCCCTCATAGATGCAGTGGTCCACAAACGGCGGGAATGCACTAATGAGAGCATACGTCTCTTACATTGATAAACGGACCTGACTCTGTGCTGTAAGGGGGCCGGTTGGCCTCGTCCCACACCCGCTCGCCCTCGCCAGTGGTACAAAAAAGAGCAGGCATGCACTCATCAGAGCATACGTCACTTACGTTGATAAACGGGCATGATTCCATGTTGCAAGCGGGGCGGTTGGCCTCGTCCCACACCCACTCGCCTTCGTAGATGTTGCACGCACAGGGCAGGCTTACATTGATGAAGGGGCAGGATTCCATGTTGTAGACAGGGCGGTTGGCCTCGTCCCACACCCACTCGCCTTCGTAGATGTTGCACGCACAGGGCAGGCTTACATTGATGAAGGGGCAGGATTCCATGTTGTAGGCAGGGCGGTTGGCCTCGTCCCACACCCAGTCGCCTTCGTAGATGTTGCACGCACAGGGTAGGCTTACATTGATGAAGGGGCAGGATTCCATGTTGTAGGCAGGGCGGTTGGCCTCGTCCCACACCCAGTCGCCTTCGTAGATGTTGCACGCACAGGGCAGGCTTACATTGATGAAGGGGCAGGATTCCATGTTGTAGGCAGGGCGGTTGGCCTCGTCCCACACCCAGTCGCCTTCGTAGATGTTGCACGCACAGGGTAGGCTTACATTGATGAAGGGGCAGGATTCCATGTTGTAGGCAGGGCGGTTGGCCTCGTCCCACACCCAGTCGCCTTCGTAGATGTTGCACGCACAGGGCAGGCTTACATTGATGAAGGGGCAGGATTCCATGTTGTAGGCAGGGCGGTTGGCCTCGTCCCACACCCACTCGCCCTCGTAGATGTTGCACGCTGTCGAATCCATCGACTCCTCCCCCCCCATAGTGGCACCAAACGATGGGTTGCTGGTCAAGGGCCCCTCCTCGTTGCTAGTGACCCAGCCGCTATTGTCACCACCACTATTATCACCATCGCTGCTGTCACTGCCGCTGGTGTCGCCGCCCTCGTCTGTAACGAAGGAGACGGAACCATCAATGCCTGAAACAGCACCTGAAGTGTCACCACCTGAAGCAGCACCTGAGGCGTCAGCACCTGAAGCACCAGCTGTATCAGTGGCAGCAGCAATGTCAGACGCCCCATCTGCTGCAGCAGCACTGGGATCCGTGCCAGCGCCAGACGCAGGGTCCACTGCAGCAGCAGAGTCAGAATAGGAATCAGCAGGGGCAGCATCGGTAGACGCAGTGTTTGGGTCAGTCCATGCGGTGTTTGGGTCAGTAGACGCGGTGTTGGGGTCAGTCCATGCAGTATTTGGGTCCGTGTAAGAATCAGTAGGAGCAGAGCCCGAGCTCGTATCAACAGGGGCAGCGTCAGTAGACGCAGTGTTTGGGTCAGTCCATGCAGAATTTGGGTCTGGGTTAGTAGATGAAGGGTCGGTGGATGGAGTGCCAGGGTCAGTGTAAGTATCAGAAGGAGGGGGAGGGCTGGGAGGGGGAGGGCTTGGGGGAGGGGGACTTGGGGGAGGGGGGCTTGGGGACGGTGAGCCTTCACCTGAGCTTTCACCTGAACCACCCCAAGGCCACCAACTACCAGAGGACGAGCTGTCTCCCGTCGAATCAGGAGGGGGAGGGGAAGTCTCTGACCAATCGGAAGGCGGAGGGGGGCTGCCAGGTGTCTCCCAGTTATTGGTGGATACCCACTCAGAGTTCGATGCTCCGGCATCAGTGCTGCTGCTACTGCTGCTGGAGGACCAATCAGGCGAGGGGGAGGAATTGTCCGAGGTGGAGGAAGAGGAGGAGTCGGCTGGTGCCGTCCAACCAGATGACGTATCCGCTGGTGCCGTCCAACCAGATGACGTGTCAGCTGGAGCCGTCCAATCAGAGGAGCCGGAACTTGATGAGGAGGAATCAGAGGGCGAGGAGCTACGTGATGTTGACCAATCAGAAGGAGGCGGACTGGGGTTGGACCAACCCGACGAGGACGTCGAGTCCGAGGAGGGCGAGGACCAATCGGAAGACGAGTCAGAGGAGGAGCTGGACCAATCAGAGGGCGAGGAGGAGCCACCGGAGGAGTCCCAGGTGTTGTCCTGGAGGTGCCTTCGGGTGTCATCTGGAGGGGGAGGAATGATGAAAGAGGGAGAGAAGCAGAAAGGAAGCTTCACTGTAGGTTCAAGAGCAGATGGCCTGGAGGAGTCCCAGGTGTTGTCCTGAAGCTGCCTCTCGTGTCATCTGGAGGGGGAGGAATGATGAAAGAGGGAGAGAGGCAGAAGAGCAAGAAAGCGTTTGAGTCGATTCAAGAGCAGATGGCTTCAGGAGCCACCAAAGGAGTCCCAGGTGTTGTCCTGGAGCTGCCTTCTGGTGTCATCTGGAGGGGAAGCATTGATGAAAGAGGGGGGGAAGGGGAGAAAGAGATACAGGAAAGCGTTAGAGTCGATCCTAAAGCACACAGCTAGAGGAGCCACCTAGGAGTTCTGGTGAATGGAGACAGCGAGCCACCAGAGCTGCCTTCTGGTGTCATCTGGATGGGGACAGGGAGGAAAAGAGGATGGGCAAGGAGGGATTGCTGGGAAGAGAGCTTCGAGGCTAGAATAACAAGATAACGGAGGACAGGAAGAGGAGATCGACAACAGTCACCAAGCAGGGTGACTGACACGTGAATCCCTACCTGAAACACCGACTCCAGTAGCAATCTCCTCCTGTTGATGCTTAAGATCAAAATCCCGTCCCATGGAATCCCGGCTCTTTTGCCCCTGGAGGGCCTCTGGTTTTGGTAGCAGCAGGAATCCCTGGGTGCGCCGCACGCCCTGCGCTGCCACGAATCTAGCCTTTGGCGAGGAGAGCGAGGAGGCGACCAGTCCATGGGCGAAACTCAGAGCGAACAGCTCTGCCAGCTGGGAGGTTGGGAGGGAGGGGGAGGGGGAGACGAGGGGAAGGTGGGGAGGATTGAGGCGGAGGGGTGAGCCATACGAAAAGAGGGGGGTGAAGGGGGTGAAGGGGGTGAAGGGGGCTGAGGAGGGTGGAACGCCACGAAGCGGGGATAGGGAAGACGAGGGAGAGGAGCAGGGATTGGTCCGTTCCCTCACTCCAAAGACTCTTCCCGTGCCCCAACTTACAAACCACTGTACGACAACCATTGTGCGACACACCCCCAGCCGACCACTCCAGTCACCAGTTCTCACACCCCCCAGTCACCACCTCTCACCTCCAAGCGAGCGCATCTGAGCATTCCCTCCATCGTCGCCCCTCCACTCCCCTCCGCCCCATCAATCTCCGCCCCCCCATGCTCCTTCCTCCAGTCCTCCGCCCTCCCTCCTGCCAGCTCCTGCATGCCGCGGCAACTGGCAGTGCGGGTCTCAGTGGCTCTCAGGGCAAAGGGCGGACCGTACTCAACAGCTCCCTCCTCCTTTCTCCCCACTTCATTTTTTTCCTTCTCCTCACTCTCCTTGTCTGAGTCAGGCCGAGTGGGCGTGATGAGGTGGGGGGTGCTGGGTTGACTCATGGCGCATGTGCCTGCTGCTGCCCCTGCCTGCTGCACGCACCCCGAAGGCCTGTAATCGAGGTGACTCTGTAAGGGGGATAGGAGGGCGGTTGGGAGGGGGAAGGAGGGGATCACAACATGCAAGCACGGATGCGGCTGAAGTGTCATTTTCCTTCAATGACTGGTACAGACCAGATCACACTAAGTGCAACAGAGAAATCACAACATGCGACGCAATGATGCGGCTGAGGTGCCATCGCTCCACAGGGACTGCCACAGACCAGACAGCACCGAATGCACTAGAGGGCATACCTCGGGCATCACAGCGTGTGATGCACGGATGCGGCTGAGGATCTCTCGCTCCACAGAGACTAAAAGGTAGACGGTAAACCACACCATTGGCGCATGTTTGACCTTACCACATGTACCACATGCCCTAGCTCGTACATCACAGCATGTGATGCGCGGACGCGGCTGAGATTGCATTTTTCAGCAGTGACTGATGCAGACCAGACTGCAACAAGTGTGCTTGAGGGCACACCTCGGACATCACAGCGTGTGCTGCGCGGATGCGGCTGAGGTGCCATCGCTCCACAGGGACTGAAAGGTAGACCACACGGCGCATGTTAGACCTTACCACACGTACCACATGCCCTACCTCGTACATCACAGCATGTGATGCGCGGATGCGGCTGAGGTGCCATCGCTCCACAGAGACCAAAACGTAGACCACACGGCGCATGTTTGACCTTACCACATGTACCACATGCCCTACCTCGTACATCACAGCATGTGATGCGCGGATGCTGCTGAGATTGCATTTTTCCGCAGTGACTGACGCAGACCAGACCGCACCAACTGTGCTAGAGGGCATACCTCGGACATCACAGCATGCGCTGCACGGATGCGGCTGACATACCTCGGCCATCACAGCATGGGCTGCACGGATGCGGCTGAGGTTCTCTCGCTCCACTGTGACGGCCACAGCAGGCGACGGGTGCAGCGACGCCAGGCACGCTTGCACAGCTTGTTCATACTCGCACGGGTCAACGGAGTCCTGATGGTGGGAGGGAGTGGAGGTGTGGGGGGGGGGTGGTAGGGTGGGTGGGGGGAGTGAGGTGGGTCGACTCACTTGTCTCGTCGTACTCGCAATGGGTTCATAAAGTCCTGACAGTGGAAGGCAGAGCAGGTGGGGGGGGAGGGAGGTGGGTCGACTTATTTGTCTCGTCGTACTTGCACAGGTCAATAAACTCCTGATGGTGGATGGGGGTGGGAGTGCGGGGTGGCGTTTGCATCAACATGTTTATCGCTTCGCACTCGAATGTCACCTCACCCACCTCACTCACCCACCTACCTCACTCACCCACTTACCTCCCTCACCCACTTACCTCCCTCGCCCGCCCATCAATTTCACAAACTCACCTCCCTCGCCGCTCTCACCTCTTCTGCATCTGACCATCCTGCCACTGACCCACTGACCCAGCTTACCCCACCCGTTTTTTTTCCTCAGCCACTCACCTCCCGCAGCCACGTGTTGGTGTCCGGCGAGAAGAAGAGCTCGAAGCTGTCAGCGGCACTGCTGAGAGTCCTCCCCTCGCCCTCGCTCTCGTTGCACGCCCGAATGGACACCTGGACGGAGCATTGCAGGTGCAGAAAGACAAAGAAGTCAGATATTGGGCAACTAACCAGTAGTAGCTTTAGCAATTCCGGCGCGAGAAACCTCCAAACGAAGCAAGGCATGTGCCGGGTGAAATCCGCTCTTGCACCAATCCACGCAAAAACACCAGCACGAAGCCAGCAAACCTCAGCAGCCCTCACCGGCTCCATCCACTTACCGTTTCCCTGGTCGGCTCGAGGTGGTCTCGCCAGTCGTCGATCGGCCATTGGACGCTGCGCACCCACAGCGCGGTGACTAACGAGTCGACTCAAGAGTCACCTGGCAGTAGCAGCCCCACATACCATCTCCCTGGTGGGGTCGAGGTGGTCTCGCCAGTCGTCGATCGGCCACAGGACGCTGCGGACCCACAGCGAATCCTCGTGCCCTCGTTTTCTGCGCGCGCTTGTCTGCCTGGTGCTGTTACTCGCGACAGCGAAGAGGTCGGCGAAGCGGATGTGCTGCATGTGCCCGTCGCTGGGCCACACGGCGATTGTGGTAACATCCGTGAGGTGTGTCACTGCAAAAGCCGCACAAACGGCGTGCAGACGCGAACCCACATCGCCCTGATGGAAAGGGGAGATGTGACAAGACAGATAGGCATGTGACGTGACTGCTAAGCCTAAAATATGGTGACATAATCTTCTCGCCCTCCGCTCTCCTCCACTCCCCTATTCCTCCCGGCAAATTCCAGCTTTTTCTTTATCTTTGGAAGAATATCCTTTTGTCAGCTTGCTCCGTTTCCGGTCAGAACATACCTCAGCAATTATGAGCGCGTCTGCTCGGTCGCAGATTCCCGCCTTTCCGATTAACTCGCAGTCGTCCATCGCCGTCTTTCGCAGGCCCCACAGGCCGTGGTCTTCATGGAAATCGTCGTCAGTAAGATCGTCGAACGCTACCGTTAACTCTCCGGGAGACGAGGTCGGCTGCGCGTTGCCGCTCATCCAAGAAGCCGAAATCGTAAGTGTTAGGAGTAGAGTAAATAAAAATTCCACTGATCGTGACCATATTGACACGCGGGAATTTCTCCGGAGCCAGCTTGTGAAAAACATCGTGAAAAAAGGAGAACGGAGGAGCCTGGCGCCGGTTGAACAGAAGGAACAAACTGAATTCGTTCTCGTCTACAAACTGAATGTTGGTCGCCTCAGGTCGACTAATTTTTCCTGCTGACCTCTAGTCCGCACCGAGCTAGGCCCACATGTTGGAGACAGTAACGACGACTGTCTGATCTGAAGTGGAATATAGCTGCTACACTCATTCGAAAAGGGAAGGTGGAATCTCCCATGTAAGTAGGAATAGGAGTCACGAGGGAACGCGGAGATCCCAAACAGGAAACCTTGTGGAGTTACCAAGGTGAGTTCAAACCGAAAAGCGCGGGAAACATCTGGTCGGCTCCTGCACTGGTTGCCCAATCACAGACCCTCCTCCTGGTTTCAAAAACAGAGCCTGCACTGTGGTAGTGCAGTGGCGGGATAGCTGGAGGTGTCAGAATTTCGAGTAACGTTAGAGGAGTGAAAGAGTGAATACCGATTCCTAAATCCATCAAGCTCACCGTACAAAATCTGATAAATTGCATAAGGGTGAATTCCGCAGCGAGTGAAGACCCGAGGGTTTAGTGGGAAGATCCGAGGCTGGAAAAAAAATGCCTCCGGTATTGCGAAAATCTGACGGATCCAGCCAGTCAGCTGACAGACAGAACATCTAACAGTGTAGTGCAAATGAGCTTCCACTTATCATGAACTTGCCAATTTCTGGTGGACTCCAGGGTTCTCTTTTGGAAAAAAACGTGTCTGAGGAATCAGACAAGGTTTGCACACTTTGTCAGATGCACTTTTCATTATCAGAGAAGTATGAAAAAAATGTCTGATTTTTCAGAGAAATTTAGAATGAATGTTTGAAAATTCAGAGAAAAGTATTTGCAGTCTGTTAGTATGAGATGCAGCACTTCGACTAATTAGCGGTTGTGGGCAGGGCTGACTTTATCAGACTATTTACTCTGATTAGTCTGAAATCTCAGACCTGTTTTTTGGCCAAACCTGAATTTCCAGATAAGGCATTTTCCCAATCCTGATCCCTTCAGAGTACGATTCTAGGGATCCTGAGAAAATCAGAGTTGTCGCTAACCCAGTACTGAGTTTTCAGAGCACATCGCGTACGGACCCTGACTCATTACCTGTACAGTACCAACCTTCGAAAAATTTGGTGAAGTCCCCAATCGCTAGAGACATGCCCCACATACCCCACAACCCCTAAAATTTTTCGGCCAAGTCCCCAAACCCTAGAGACAACCCCCACCCCACACCCCACAACCCATCTAAAATTTCGGCGAAGTCCCGGAACGCTAGAGACATCCCCCACACACCCCACAACCCACCCTAAATTTCGACTAAGTCATGTTGTTAGATACAGTCCTCCCTAACACCTGGAACAACCCAGAAGTTTTGAATGAGACTTTCACTTTTTTTTTTTAAACTGCGTTGAAATGAGAGTAAATTCCGCATTTTTAACATAGGGAAATTCTCGCCAGTTGCCCGTTTGGTCAACTGAAAGTCTAACAAAATGTAACGGTCACGATCGTTTGCGATCGTTTCGACGTATATCCATCGTTCGATGTTATATTGCGATTAACGTCCAAGATTTCCCAACCGGGGCGCTGCAAGGGCGCGAAATTTCTCCCACCCTCCTATTCCCCAGCTTCCCCCCTCCCTGCCGTTTCGATTCCCCCCTTCCCCTCCATTTTCGCTTCCCCCCTCCCCTCCGTTTCGATCACTTCCCCCCTTCCCCTCCGTTTCGCTTCCCCCATCCTCTCCGTTTCGACCGCCCCCCCCCCTTCCTCCCCCTCCCCTCCGTTTCGTTTCCCCCCTCCCCTCCATTTTGATTCCCTCCCCCATTTCCCCGTCAGTTTCGATTCCCCCTCTCCTCAGTTTCGATTTCCGTGGCAGTGCGATTTTACCCCCTCGGTTTTTAGGAATGACTTCCCCGTTTCCCACATTTAACAACTACGCAAAACGAGGGTATGACAAGGTTGCTGGTTGGGGGGGGCGCGGGCTGTGGGAGGATTTTTAATGCTGCAAGGAACTTAGCCGATTTTTTGGGAGGTGTAGGAGGGAGGGATGTTTCTCGCTGTGGGGGTGTTTCCCGTGTGTGATTCTGGTTGTACGTCCTGGACCCTGAAAAAATCAGACTCGCTGAGTTCTGGACCCTGACATTTCAGACTACAAAAATTTCGGCTGAAGGCCCTTCAGACTATTTTTTTTTTGGGGGGGATTGGCTCAGAGTGCCTTTTTTTGAAACGTCAGCCCTGGTTGTGGGTTACAAAGGAGAAAAATCACTAAGCGTCCAATCCAATGTCCATGCTAGGATTTTCGGCCGTCTGAAAATCAGACTTGGCTTTGAACTTTCATCTGACCGTCATACAAAGACTTAGCGAAGGTCTGAGAATTCAGAAAAAACTTAAAGCACCGTATTAAAACTTCAAACGATTTTTTAATCACTACAACTATTGAAAGTGTTGGAAATATCTCAAAGGACTTAAAACCACAGGCTAAAATAGCAAAGGGGGGCTTCAAGTGAGCCCCTCTTGAAGTGGGGGCACTCTGGAAAAAGTTGGGTTGCTAGAGCGAAATTGACAGGGAACGTTTTGGGAAACTGGGCAGAAACGAACCCACCATAATCAACGCCTGGGGGAGGTTGGGCGACTTCGGAGCATGTGCGACGAGGCCGCCAAATCCACGCGCGACAGTTCCGACTGAGAAGGAAAGCTGCAACTAGGGCTTGTTCGTTTTGTTGAAGTGTACCTCTTCAACCATCTCGAAAATGTGAGCTTACAGGGATAATGGCACAACTTGGAGCGAAAGGAACTGCAAATACAGGGGAGTGCGCCAAGTGCGAACACGCTGACACAAGGACTTTTCAAGCGTGCAACGGTACGCGCCAAAGACTCGAATCCAAAACAGCGAAACTCACAATGGAAAATGCTGATAAACACATCCGCAGTGGTATTCTTTATAATATTGGACATGAGAATAACAACCTTGAGCATGCTAGGAGCAAGGAAAATACTGAAGTGCTAATTTTTGTGAGACGTTGTACTATTATTTTTCACTGTAGGATGCAAAATAATACAACTGGCACTCTTGACTAAAGCATACTTGCACTTCCACAATCTTGGCTACTTAACGTAGGTCCCTCTAGTTCCAGAACTGCAACGGACGGGTGCCATTTTGGGTTGGGAAATGGGGGGAAGTAAAAGATAGGGGGTAAATGGTGGGTGACGAGTAGAAAGCGAGAGCGGGGGTACAGCAGAGAGCGGGCGTACAGGAGAGACCCGGGGTACAACAGAAAGCGGGCGTACAAGAGAGAGCCGGGGTACAGCAGAGAGGGGGGGAACAGCGGGGAGCGAGAAGAATGGAGGCACAGGAGAGAGTGGGGAGACAAGGGATTGAGGGATAGGAGAGGGTTTGGATAAAAGGGGGTAAGGGGGTGGGGCTTGAGACGGAGGGATAGAGCAAAAGAATGGTGAGATGACTGGAGGGGGCGGGGAGATTGAGAGGGGATGAGACCTGCTGAGAGCAGGGAATCCAGAGACGTGGGAGGGGACAGGACGTGGCAAACAACAAGCCTAACCCACTCCTTTCCCCTTGTACCCCCACTCATTGCCTCTGTACCCCCTCCGCTTTCCCCTTGTACCCCCACTCAGTGCCCCTGTACCCCCTCCGCTTTCCCCTTGTACCCCCACTCCTTGCCCCTGTAGCCCCTCCGCTTTCCCCTTGTACCCCCACTCCTTGCCCCTGTACCCCCTCCGCTTTCCCCTTGTACTCCCACTCCTCGCCCCTGTACCCCCTCCGCCATCCCCTTGTACCCCTCTCTTTCCCCTTTGCCCCCCCCTCCCCGTGCCCTTTATTTCCCCTCTAAGAGGGATAGGAGGAGAGAGGTGTGGAACAGGGGGGAGCTTTGGGAAAGGGTGTTGTGTGCGGGGAAATGGAGGGGGAGTGAGAGGATGGGTGGGTGGAAAATACAGGGACGTGGGAGGGTGCAAGGCTGGTCCTATCTCCTCGCCCCCCCTCTCCCTTTCTGTCCCCCTAACTCCCTGCCTCCCCTATCTCCCTGCCTCCCCTATCTCCCTGCCTCCCCTATCTCCCTGCCTCCCCTATCTCCCTGCCTCCCCTATCTCCCTGCCTCCCATATCTCCCTGCCTCCCCTATCTCCCTGCCTTCCCCATCTCCCTGCCTCCCTACCCCGTTCCCCCATTACGAATACCCCTTTCCCCCATCTGCCTACCCCGTTCCCCCATTCCGACTACCCCCTTCCCCCATCCGCCTACCCCGTTCCCCCATTCCGACTACCCCCCTCCCCCATCCGCCTACCCCGTTCCCCCATTCCGACTACCCCCTTCCCCCATCCACCTACCCCGCTCCCCCATTCGACGACCCCTTTCCCCGCCTACCCCATTCCCCCATTCCGACTACCCCCTTCCCCCATCCGCCTACCTCGTTCCCCCATTCTGACTGCCCCTTTCCCCCATCTGGCTACCTCGTTCCCCCATTCCGACTACCCCCTTCCCCCACCCGCCTACCCCGTTTCCCCATTCCGACTACCCCTTTTCCCCATCCGCCAAACCCGTTTCCCCATTCCGACTACCCCTTTCCCCCATCCGCCTACCCCGTTCCCCCATTCCGACCTCCCCTTTCCCCCAGTTCGCATATCTCTTTTCCATTCCCCGCGTACCTCTTTGTAAGGTGACAAGTCTGCCGTCGTATCACTCAGCAACGCTGGCTGAACCGCCTAACTCGTCGAGCCTAACTCTATCGCGTCAAGCCTATTTGTCTGGCCTATCTCGTCGGCCCAACTCGTTCCCCTCTCTTCGTACCATCAGTATAACAGTTCTGCTACTTTTTTACGAAACTAAAACCTCCTGCACGTGGGGGGGAATGTTCTTGCCCCGCTAAACCAGCGAAGGATTTTTAGGATAGGTGTCGAGACCGCTGTGGCTTCCTAAGTTAGTCTACGTGTAAGAAGAGCCTACGTCTGAAAACTTGAAGCACACCTAGGGCTCACTTGAAACCATGGGCTGTGACATGTGGTCGCATGCCCTTCTTTTTGGAATTAGCAATGCGACCCTCGAACTTGTCGCGTCGTGTTCCTTTCTGGGGGTTCGATCTGTTTTGTGTCGTCAGCGAATCAGTGTGGGCTGCAAATTCGCAGCATTTGTTTTTTCGAGCCTGGGAATGTGTACCAGAGGAAGTCGGATCCTTTTCTCTG